ACCTGCGGGAATCAGGCCCCCATCACAGCCCATCTCCCTTTGGGACCCTTGCCAAGGCCGTGCCAGCGCGGTGATGGAGCGGGACAGGGCCGTGCAGGCTCAGCGAGGAAGAGGAGGGTGGCTGTGAGGAGGGTTTGTGAGGAAGAGGAGGGTTTGTGAGGAAGAGGAGGGTCTGTGAGGAAGAGGAGGGTGGCTGTGAGGAGGGTTTGTGAGGAAGAGGAGGGTGGCTGTGAGGAGGGTTTGTGAGGAAGAGGAGGGTTTGTGAGGAAGGAGTTCTCGCTGCCGGGCAGGTGGGAAGCGATGCGTGCTGGAGCCGTGCCCGCTCGGGTTTGGTCAGGTTTGGTGCCCTGTGCGAAGCTCTCGGCCGGGCGAGGGGCGGCTCGAGGTGTGCGAGCACAGAGAAGCTGCGGGGATCCCCTGCACAGCCCCGGCCGCCCTCCTCCTCGAGTTCCAGGGCGTCCCAGGCACTTGTTCGTCCTGGAGATCCCCGCTAGATGGGCCCCGCGGGCCCTGGACAGGCTTTTCTGCACCGGCAGCAGCGGGAATATGGCTCCTGGCTTGCACTTAGGGTTTAGGGGCAAAATGACGGCTGAGTGAGAAGAGGGATCTGCCTCCCACGGAAACAGAGCTGAACCCCGCAGCAGAAATGATTTGACTCTGATTTGCACAGCAGAGTGGTGTAGAAGGGGGCAGATTGCTAATTTAACCCTAGTGGAATGTGCCCTTGACCACAGCAGAGGGTTGGAAGGAGATAATCTATAAGGTCCCTTCCAACCCAAGCCATTCCATGATTCTATGAATCCCTTTACAGCCGAGGGCATCCTCCTCCAAAGTACATCAGAACTGGCTGGAGCAGCTGCAGGAATTGCTCTCCCTGCTGTGGGCTCCCTGATCACTCCTTTCTGGCCCCCAGCACACCTGGCAAGCATTTCCCTCCCCAGCAAAATGACCCCACAAAGCCAAGGAGAGGATTCTGTGAGCAGGGCAGCACAGTGCCGTGGGTGGAGCAGCACCCTGGGATGCCCCGGGTGGAGTGGGGCACAGCTGGGGCACAGCTGTAACATCTGTAGAAAACAGGGATACCATTTCCTGTGGGACATTACTGCAAGGAGTTAGATCACTGCAGTTAGTTTGCTGACAGCCTGGAAAACCTCAGGAGAACATGAATAATGCTTTTGGTGCCTCAGTGCTTGCTGTGGAAGGTGCTGATAACCCATCTCTCTCCTTACCTCAGCTCAGGGGTTACCATACCATTCATCCAGTCAGGCTTTCCCAAGTCCAGCAGGGCTTGGAAGGACACAATCCAGCCTGGGCTTGTTGGGTTCCTGCATCCCCAGACATCCTCCAAACCCTGTGTGCAGCACTTACTTCTGTAAGGTAAGTAAGGCTGAGCAAGTGGTTGTTTAAGTGACCACTTGGTTGTTTAAGTACCAGCCAAGGGTTTCCTCTGTGCCTCCAGGAAAGCAAGCCCGAGCACTTTTTGGACTTACTATGATTCCCTGGAGCTCTGAGACTGTCTCCAGCCAGTTCAATGGACCCAACCTCAAAGACCCTCCAGCCCCAGTATCACATGGTCCAGGGCACAGGTGAACAGTGTGCACCAGCTGCAGGTGAAATCCTGCAGAGAAGGGGCTGAAGGGATGAAGGGGGAAATGTCCTTGGGAACCAGCCAGAGCTGGCTTCTCCATCTCACCCTGCATGATGTGATTCAGCAAATGCACGTTGCCCCGAGCAGCCCGGCTCTTCCCAGTGCAGGTGGGGAAGTTGGGGACAGAGCTGACCTGGGACACAGGAGCTTCTCTGTCAGAGACTGCCCAGCTCAGGCAGCCTGTCCCACCCCCAGCCCAGCCAGTGGCACGCCAAGCACTCGCCCAACTCCCCATGCGCTGGGTAAAGAGGGAACAGCTGCAGGGGCCCTTCTGCTGCCTCAGGAGCTGGGACAGCACCCAGAGCCAGGCTGGGATCTAAATTTAAACTCATGCTTTGTGTGTTTGTACATGCGAGTGCAGGCTCCAGCCCCCACTCCCCCACCACCTCCCCTGCTGCACGGAGGAGACAGAGACCCAGAGGAGCTCCAGCTGGCTGGGACCTGGGGAAGGGGGGCTCCACTGCAGGGCAGGAGGGGAACAGACAGCTAGGGGAGCAACACCATGGAGCCCACTTCTCCCCAGGGTGACGTGAAGAAGAGGCAACAGAAGGAGAAGTCCAAGAAGCCGGTACCACCAATAGCTCCTCGTCCACCCAGGGCCCTGTTCTGCTTAACCCTGGAAAACCCTCTGCGGAAGGCGTGCATCAGCATCGTGGAGTGGAAGTATCCTGTGGCTGCAGGGGCTGGGGAGCAGTGTGTGTGTGCCTGTGAGCATGGCAGGGGTGCTGGGACCACGAGAGCTGTCAGCCTGTTTCAGGCTTGTGCTGTCTCATCAGGCCTGTGAAAGCACTGAGGCACTCAGGGAGCCCTGGCAGGATGCACTGGTGAAGGCAATGGCTGTGCTAACTGGGGCATGAATAGGCTGGTGGGGAAAGCTGGGGCTGAGGAGTGGGCTGGGCCATGGGGCCTTTGTGGGGTGGGACAGGGACAGGCAGGGACAGCCTGGGGGCAAGGGACTTGTGGGTGTCAATGTGTTGTGTGTGTTGGATGCTGGGGAGAAATGGGGACAGAGTGTTGAGAGGGGAGGGGGTTTAGTGTGTCGGGAGAGGGCACAGTGCCCATCCTGGGGTGGGGACGGGGTCAGGCTGGGGACGATGTGATACTCTGGAGAGAAGTTTGGGGGTAGGTAGTGAGACCATGGTGAATTGCTTGGGATGGCTCTTTGTGTGTATCACCGTTTGCCTGATCCCACAGCTGTGCTCTGCCCTGGTGGGGGGCCTCCCCCAAATCCTTGCTGACACCATTGTAATCTCAGCTCCCTTTCCCACCCCTCCCTGGTACTCTGTCACAGGTGAAGGCTTTTTTGTGGGTGATACTGTTCAGAGGGAAAGCCTTTCCTTGTGCCTTTGGCTTAGTGTTGTAGTTTGGGTGTTGTTTTTTGACCTTTTCACTGGGGCATTGTAGCTCAGAAATACCAAAATGTTGTGTTTCTGCCATGCATACAGGAACTATCGCTTTCTTCACCTGTATTTTATGTAAAGGAAGAGAGTGGGAGATGAAATATTTCACTTTGATTACAGCAAAACGTCTGGGCTGAAGCAAAAAACAATGGACTGGGGAACAGAATCGAGTTCTTCCACCACAACTTTTCTTATTTCATTTGCTGAACCTTATCTGTGTGTTCCTGGCCTCGGCAGGATGATCCCACCAGGATTTACTCTAGGAGGTGGCTTGGTCACCTTAGGCTGGCTGTGTTGCCATAGGGATACCAAAACCATGCCCAGAGATGCTGCTTTGTCCAAAGCCCAGTTGGCAGGCATGAGGGCATGCCCACAGCTCTGGTAGTGCTGCAGTTTGAGACCTCATTCCTTTACTGCAAACTCTGTCCCCCATGGAGTGGGATCAGAGCCAAAATTGGGGAGTTGTCATTTTTTTGTGTCTCTGGCAAGAGAAATGATGGTTCTGTGGGCACATAGAAGGGAACTGTGCCTGTGTCTTAAATGGACACTGAGTAAGGAAGAGCCTTTGTGTATGCCTGAGTGGCAGGGGGAGAGCTGGAAATAGGACTTACATCTTGCAGCATGCTCCAACACGTTCTTCCAGCTGGGCCAGCACATGCCAGAGCAAGGGCATAGCACAGGGAGGGTCTTCCCCACATCAGTGCTCTGGAAGGGGACAAGTGGGTGTCCCAGTAGAAAGGTGGCATGTGCAGGTGGCTCTGACCTGTGCAGGACAAATGATCCAGGGAATCGAGTTTCTCCAGCGCCTGGCTGTATTTATACCCAGATGCACCTGGCTGCCCTCACTCAGGGATCAGGGCATGCCAGGCGTGATAGGGTCGGCTCGTTCCAGTTCCTGTGGGTTATTATGGTCTGCAGGGACATGCAGGCTGCCAAAGGGAGATTAGCTGTGACCCTCCTCTGTAGAGGTACCTGGGCTGGAGGTGCTGTGTGGCAGTACATATTCCTGTTCCTTGGGCTCATCGCTGCTGTGGAGCTGCTGCTGTCAGAGCTGAGCCACAGCAGAGAGTCAGGGGCTTTTTCAAGCAGTTGAATAGTGGGGACCATCACTCCATCACTCCACTCAGCCCAGGGTGGGTGAAAGGCTGACTTGAGGCAGAGGGCGTTTTTGTGCTGAAATTTGCTTGCATCTCAAAAAATATGTTCATTAGAACAAAGAAATCTGAATGTTGTGCAGCTTTCTGGGTGTTGTGTGCAAGCCATTAGTCCAACAGCCTGATAGTTGTTGGGACATGTCTTGCTTTGTGACACCACCCTGGTATTTCAGGTCATTTTGTAGCCAGGAGAGCTTCAAGGCAGATGAGTGAGGATTCTGGGGACCCTGGAGGACCACAGAGCTGCAGACACAGAGGCCTAATTCCTGCTGCAAGGCAGGATTGGATGCTGTGTGGCAGGAGCATGCTGGACAGAAAGGAGTTAGATTGCAAGACAAGGAGATGAGGAGGATGCTGAGGCTCAGTGGCAGGAGGCAGAGACACTGTACCCAGTTATCTCCATGTCTGTTTCTTGGTTCAATCTTTCCCACTGCACTGCTACCTCATAACTGTGCCAGACTCGCAGAATCACAGGCAGCAAGTGGATTCCAGCTCCAGTTACAGGAGCTCCAGTCGAGGTCACCCTTCAAGGAGGGCTTGTCTTACCCTGTCCAAGCAGCCAGGGAAGCCTCCAACACCCAGGCTCTGCCTCATTACCCAGACACAAAGGGGAGCAGCTTTTCCAGCCAACTTCAGTTTTTAAAGTGTCATCAGGTTGATGGATAGAAAGGCCCAGAAAAGGAAAAAATGCCTGTGATGAGCCCAGGACACGCCTGACAGCACTCAGCCAGCACTCAGGCTGGTGTGCATTGCCTGCTCCCCAGGTGCCCCTTGCTCTGTGATACTGGACTGGCCACCAGAGCCCAGGGCAGCCTCAAGGGAGAACGCTGGGGAAACAGAGAGTGGGGATCCCTGGAGGGAGAGCCTGGCTGCAAATAAGACCCTGGAGATAGAGTTTGAGCTCCTTGGAGGGTTCAGGAAGGTGAGAGCTGAAGCTTGTCCAAGAGGTTTCAAGGCCCACACAAAGCAGTGACAGCAGCAGGAGCCTGGGAGTGACCAAGTGCCTGTCCCAGGGTCTTCATGGGGAAATAGTAAAGTCACCCCTTTCATTCTGAGATGTCATAGGGCCCAAACAGCACAGTTTCTACCTTGAGGTGGGTGGGACAGTCCTCAGGCTGAGCGCTGTGTTCACTCCCAGCCCCTGGCACTCCTGGGGACGGTCACAGGAGTGACCCTGCTGTACTGGGCACAGCTGGGGATGTTCTGCCAAAGGAGCCCCTGGATGAGCTGCCTTGCCCCTGGCTACCTTCAGCTGGGCCATGCAGCCCCCATGAGCCTGGAGCAGCAGGAGTCTCTGTCATGGATGCAAAGTGCAGAGGGAGCTGGGGCCTGCCTGCTCTGGAGGGGATGCTCAGGTTCAGTGGCTGCATTCTGCAAAGGGCTCCTGAGCCTTCAGGGTGATTCACTGAAGGATGAGGAGGGGGAAACTGCCCCCTGTTCCATCCCTTTGTCCTGTGCTGGCCCTGCAGCACCTGAGGATGTGCCGAGGCTGAGGTCTGGCTGCACTCTGTGCTCTGCCCCTGTGGGGGCTGGTTCTCCACACCCACCCAGGCAGGACAGGGCAGGGGTGGGGTTATTCCTGCTTTTTCTTTCCTGTCTGCACTCCTTAACACTTCCCCTTAGACCCTTCGAGATCATCATCCTCCTCACCATCTTTGCCAACTGCGTTGCTCTGGCCATCTACCTGCCCATGCCCGAGGATGACACCAACATTGCCAACTCCAGCCTGGTAAGGAGCAGTTGGAACTGTTGCTGCATCTCAGTCTTTCCAAGGCTGAGTTCTTCTGGGATACTCCCTCACAGGGAGTTTTGTTTATCTTAGTTCTGTGTCAGGAAGGATACTCCAAAGGTTCCTTAGGTTCTTGTTTCTCGTGTTTATTAATATATATCAAAAGATTTGGTAGGTCTTCCTTCCCCAGACTTTCTGCTCAAGTTCAACTCTCTATCACCTGGCTCAAATTGGCTCATATGGCACAAAACGGCCTCAAAATATGCAGCTCTTTTATCTTTATACTCATTTTCACCCAATTAACAATAGACATGTAAATTATTTTTCTTAGTGTTCCAATGACCCAACACCTGTGTGCTGCACTGCAGCATTCTTTATCCAGTCACTTTCTATTACCTAAAAACTTCTAGAAGAAGAAGATGAAAAAGAAAGAAGGACAAGAGACAACACCCTAAATCTTTCATCTTTTCTTCTGTTCTCTAAGCTAGTTTAAACTTTAACTTTTTCACCCAGTGACTTAAGAAAACTCTAATTTCCACACACTTTTAGCTTTTCTATTTAACAGTTGTTTTCATGGTGTTCTATGAAATTCAGAGTTTTCTTGGATGTCAGAGCCAGGTATCAGAGATAAGGGCAGCTCTCTGTGCCTCAGACTCCAACAGGAACCCTTCCTGCAGCCCCGAGGGCTCTGTGGAGCTGCTGCCTTGGTGTGATGAGGCTGTGAGGTACCAAGAGCTGCCCTGGGGGTCAGGCACTGTTGGTCCAGCCAAAGCTGCTGCAGTCAGAGGGAGGCAGGGGTGGGAAGAAGTGATTGCAAAATGGGTTTTCAGAGGGGCTGAAATCACCTCTGGGTTGAAATCAAAGGTGGCAGGTCGTGTGTGGAGTACATACGAAGGTAAAATTTATGCTGATAAAATAAAAAAATTCATCTGATTCTTTTTATCACACTTTCAAAAAGAAATATCCTCTTCCAGAAAGACTCAAATAGTTTGTTTCAGCATTTTGGACTAAATTTTTCTGACCTTTCCTATCAAAATTGTATTTTAATTTTGTTACTTTTTATTTAAGGTTGGAAAAAACCTGTTTCTATTAGGCAGAAAGGCTATGCCTTTCCAATCATTATTCTGTATTCTTCCACAGTTGCTCCAGTTTTCCTGCAATATGATGTTTTGATGTGACCCAGATCAACAGTTTGCACTATTTTTAGTTTGCCATTCCTTTCTACTCTTCAGATCCCCACTGTGATTCCATCCACATTGATTTCCATTGAGAGACTGAGTATGATGACTGAATCAAAGCATCTAAATCCCCCTTTTAATGAAATGTTCTGCTGGTTTTGGTACTCCTCAGGGTAAATGCCCATGGAGGGTTTGTTCCTGGGGTGTTCCTTCAGCCTCCTGGCTGCTCTGACCCCTCTGACTGGTTTTGGTTTCCTCCCTGGCCAGGGGGACATCGCAGGCTGTGGTGGGTGCAGTTATCTCAGGGGAGAGGTGAAAGAGGCAAAGCAAAGCTGGGGCAGGTTGACCTTGGGAAGCAGGAGATGGGGACAGTGGGGACGGGGGCTTCCCTCGGGGAGGGGGCTTGGGGTGAGACCTGTGAGGGCAGAGCTGGGGGAAGCCCAGGTGTGTGTGGGGACGAGGGGATGAAGTGGCACTGGCCTCACAGGGCTCCCAGAGGGGCTGATGCTGCCCCAGGACCTTTTCCATGGGCAAGGACCAAGTGATGTAAATTCATTGCATAAATGAGATTCCATCTCTTTTTATTTCTTGTATATTACATTTCTTATGCTATACCCTACTGGGGGATGTTTCAGCCTGATGTCACACCAATAGGTGTCAAGAGCCAGGTAGCCCCAGGCTGCTGCTCTTTCATTCCTGCTTGCTGTCCCCTTGGCACCATGTTCTGGTGGCTTTGTAGGAGCAAATCCAGCTGAGAATTTAGCCAGACACCCATAACCTGGGGCATCAGGCTATGCTTAGCACATGCAGGTAGTGAAGAAAGGCTTGTTGAGGCATTGTCCTGCAGCAGAGAGGTGATGGGATGTGTTTAATCTCTCCCTGTCCCTTTTCTGTCTCTTCATTGCCCAGTCCTCTCTGGAGAAGGTTGAATTTATAAAAATACATTGAAATTATTGAGAAGGCAAAATGTATGAGGGGAAACTGAGTCAGGGCAGTGAGGACATTGTCCCACACTGTTTATGGGGGCAGGATTGAGGTTCCCTCTCATCAGAGCTCACTGCTGAGGGGTGTGCAGGGCCTGCCCAGCCCCAGCTTCCTTCAGAGCCCTCAGAGCAGGGACAGCCACTCTGCTTTACAGCTGGTCACTTTACAGGTGATGCCTTGATGGGCTACCCAAACACAGAGAGCAGATACAACTAAGAGAATAAAAAGGGATTCTATTTATTGAGGGGTCTTCAGGTGCATTGGGGCAGACAAAGCCCCCCAGGGGCCCAGAAATGGACAACGGGTCACGGGTTTCACACTTTTATAAGTTTGGTCCATTTGCAAATTGAGGGTTAATCTTCCAATTCCAGCTTCAGGTGATGAAGGAATTTACCCCCAGTTGGCTCTCCCCAAACTCACTTTTGTTTCCATCTCTTGGAGCCTGAAGCAGTGAGGTGTCCTTGATTCTCAGGCCTTGAGAGGAATTGTTGTGTCTGACCAAAAAGCAGCAGCTCTCATTGTGTGTGTAGTTTAGATTTATACACTAAAGAATTTCAGTGTTACAAATACATGAAAAATATAAAAACTAAAATCCTAAGGCATCACAAGGAGAGTCTCAGGAAGAGAGGATTCCTGGCAGACCTCTGCTGCCACTGCCTTCCTGCAAGACTGGAAAACCTGCAGAGCAGCCACACTCTGTTTCCAGCACCAGCCAGGGAAGAGTTTCAGTCAGAGCTTACATTAGGCTCAGAATTATTCTCATGAAAGCTTGGTTAATCAGAACTCATTTTTGGGGGTGTGAAAAAATGAAATTCCATAAGAAGGAAAATAATGAAATTAAATAACCATAACCATAAATTTTCTAAGAATCCATTTTGCTTTATCCTGGAAGAAGCACAGTTGTTTAATTTCAACACATTTCATTATTATTCTTTCTATATTAGATTTATTTTGATCCAGAAGGGTTTTTTTAAAATCCTGTTTGTATCTGATTTTGTCTTTTTCTAACAGAATCAAAATATTTTCTTCAACCCTGATTAAATGAATTTGACTTTTCAACCCGTTCAATAATTCACAGCATTTATTTTCACTTTTACTGGAGTTTCCAGAGTTTCAAATCCCACTGTTTTTCACTGGAAACCTTACTCCAGGAGCAAGCAGCTTCAGAGTATGCTTAGCAAGGCAGGTTATTCAAGGGGATTCACCCAAGAAAATACAGATGCTGATCTGGCTGCCTGGCCTATCTTTATGAGCAGTGAAGAAATAAAGTCAAATTTAGAGTACAGTTCATCTCCCAGGGCAGTTGAGCCATTTCTGCAGCCCTGGTGGGTGGTGTTTGACATGCTGCACACACTGAAATGCCTGGTTTTCATAGAACCATAGAATTGTAGTATGGGTTGGCTCAGGAGGCTCTTTCTACCCCCTGCCATGGGCACCTTCCACTATCCCAGACTGCTCCAAGCCCCATCCATCCTGGCCCTGGACACTGCCAGGGATCCAGGGGCAGCCACAGCTGCTCTGGGCACCTGTGCCAGGGCATCACCACCCTCACAGGGAACAATTTTTCCCTAATATTTAAATGTACTGTGTGTCAATTTAAAGCCAACTCTCTTTTCAGTTTAAAGTTTTTTCCACATCAGTGGAACTTGAGGGTGACTGCTTGGAGGGAGGCCACCCTTTCAGACCACCAAAAAGCAGCTGTCCTGAGTCCTGTGGGCTTTGTAGGTGTGTCAGGTAGGATATGGGGCCTAGGGAGTGGGGGACAGAGCTGGAGCTCAAACTGTCAAGAAGACAATTTAAACAGCACAGGTATTGGCCTTTGTGCAGGCACGCTGCTGCTGTCATGGAGAATGGCTTTAGGTGTTTTAGGTAGCACAATGTTTAATGTCAAGGGATATGTTTCTGAAAATCCCAGCACTCTGGGTTGCATCTCAGCCCTGGGGTTAGGGGATTCCTGTGTTTGCAAAGCCTGAGCAAAGCCTCAGGTACAATTGAGTGACAGGAATATGGGTGTCTGATGCAGGAGTCCCAGCTTTTCATCTGCTCTGGGGAGCTGTAATTATTTGTGAGTGCTGTGTAATGTCTGTCAGCGCAGGGCTGTGCCATGGGCATCTCAGGAACACCACAACAAGTTGTTTTTGGGTAGATGACTTGTGTCCCACAGTCCCTGAGCAGAGTTTGCTGTCCACTGCTGGTTTTCAAGAGCTCTTGGGCCCTGTGCCTGGAGGTTGGAATGGGTTACTTGCTGCAGGAGAGTTGTGATGTGGCTTTCCTAGAGCTTGGGGTCACCCTGGATCTCCTGGAGTCTTCACCTGTGGAAAGTGGAAAGTTCACCTGGCTGTGACAGTGGGCAACACTCCTGCATGTCTGCATGCCCAGACTCGGTAAACCTGCAGAAACTGCTGCTGCTGCTCTGGTACTGGCACCTGGAGGTGTGCACATGCAGCTGTGTGAGCTCCCCCTGCTTCCCTCCTTCCCCTCACTCTGGCCTGGGGCCACTGGTGGGGGCTGGCACCTGCCCAGCTTGTGGCTTGGCCACTCTGTGGTCACCCTGGGGTTTTGGGTAGGCAGATGAGCCAGGCCCCTCTCATCTCCCCCTCCAGGTGGGCCAGCAGAGCTCACCCCTCACTCACCCTGAGTGCCACTAAGAGCACTGCAGCCTCCTTACCCTGCTCCATCACACAGGGTGTCCTCATGCCCTGTGGCTCCCAGATCCACAGCAAGGCTTCCTTGGAAGGGACCCCTCTGCTCCCAGACCTGCAGGAGGCCGGGCTGGCTGTGGCTTCTTGAAATTTCTGTTCTTCCAGCTGGGCTCTCCATACCCCAGGTCTGACAGAAATCACCGAGCCCTTGTTCCTACTGTGGCCAAGTCCTTCTGCTTTTGGTGACTGAGCTGGTAGCACCCATCAAAGCCTTTTCAAACCAAGCAGACCTAAGACACCAAGTCCAGGAAGAACCCTCGGGAATGCCACCAAGGTGTCTCACAGACCTTGGAACAGGAGTGGGAGAGCTGGTGTGGCATGAGTAGCTCTGGATAGGCAGTGACGGAGATGCAGTGGAGAACAACTTGTAGGACCTGGCCTCTCTGTGCTCTCCTGGCTGCTGCAGGGGGGTTATGGCTTTTCTGGTTCCTGTCTCTGCAGCCCTGGGGGGTCTCTTGTTTGTGGGAAAGGAGGAGCTGTGGCTGGACACTGTGGCAGGAAAATCACAGCATTGCAGAGCAGCTAGGGGTGGAGTGACCTCTGGAGATGATCTGCTCTAACTACCTTCTGTAAAAAATCCATGCAAACAATTCAAAAATTCTCCCAAATTCTTTCCTGCATGTCTTCCCATCCCAAGTACTTCCTGTGGTATTGTGGAGAGCAGAAGTGTTTTTCTTGATGTGTCTCTTTCTGACTGTGGTCTGCAGCAGTTCCAAACCCTGCCTGCCTCCCACTGCACCCTTCCCAAGCCGAGTGCCAGGGTTTCCCACCACTCAGAGGAAACTTCATTGGCTCCAGACCTCATTTTCATCTTGTTTTCCAAAGGAAGGGATCCTGTGAGACTGCTGTAAATGTGCTCCCATACATTACCTGCCCTGTCCCCTTCTCTGCCTCACAGCTGTGGGATTTCATTCACCTCCATCCAGGGGAATAGGAGGACACTGAGCTGCTCTGTTTGGCAGAAAATGGTTGCTGCAAGCTCTGGGAAACACCTTTATGGATTCTTTGTTTACAAAGGGCTTAGAAAGACTTCAGCAGCACAGCTCCCTGCCCTGGCAGTCTGTGCATGTGTCATGCTCAAACCATTGGTGCATCTACAAAAAACGTTTTAATTAGAGTAGGCTGGAGCTGCAGGGCCCTGCTGGGACTTGGAGGCTCAGGAGGAGGTTCAGAGCTGGTGGTACAGGAACAAAAGGCATGGAGAAGGGCAGTTTATGACAGTCATATGGGGACACTCAGTGCAGTGCAATGCTTCTCTCTCGAGCTCTAGCCCTGGCTTCATAAAAGGAGAGGATTTTCCATTTGGCAGGGCATGGGGTCCCCAGGAGGAAGGTGTGCTCACAGCATGACAGCATTCCCCAGGGAAGATTGGTCTCAGAGACAGGTTTCTGCCTTTCTGAGGACAATTCCCTGGAGATCCTGAGCAGTGATGCTCATTGTCCTTCAGGGGATATAGGCTGAGGAGAGGGACCAGGGAGCACCAGAAATACAAATAGCCCCATCCACCTGGCTGCTTCAGAGGGTTTTTAATCCCAGTCTGGAAGGGGCATTGGCAGCAAGGGCAGTGATGGCAGTGACAGGCAGAGCCAGCTGGGCACAGGCAGCTCTTGGCTGTGCTCCAGGGACAGATGAGCTCCCCTGGCCCAGCAGCTGCAGGGCAGTGCCAAACCCCTGCTTGGGGTGTCAGGTCCTGCCTGGGAGGGGGTGCAGCACCTCTGCCTAGTGAGTCCCAGGCCCATTTCTAGCTGGTCACTTTGCCAGGCAAATGTCTGGCACTAAGCAGGAGGTCCTGAGCCCAAGGCCTCCGTTCCCTGGCAGCTTCCTTATCATCCCAGGCAAAGAAGCCATGGTACACCTGGCCTGTCCCAATGTGACTGTGGGGACTCCAGACCCAGCAAGCCCTCAGCTGGAGAGGATGAGAAGGTGTCAGTGCTGCCTGTAGGAGGAAGGCTGTGAGGGGAATGAGTGAACAGCAGGGATGAGAGCCAGAGACGAGCAGTGCCCTGGGACAGGCACCTTCAATGGCCAGAGCAGTTTGTAGGAACCACAGCCTCAGGGCAGGGTCCTGGCAGGGGCCATTAGAGGGCTGTGGGGAACATGCTGCAGGCCAGAGAGTGGCATGTGGTGGCTCAGCATGCCAGCCCTTGTCCCCAGGGAGCTGCTTGGTGTGTGTAGGGGGGACAGATGGGGTGGCAGCAGGGGCTGATCCACAGTCACTGGTGAGGATACCAGGGGAAGTGACAGCCTGTTCTAATGAAGCATTCTCTCCTACTTGCCTTTGCAATCCCCAGGAGAAGATTGAATATGCCTTCCTCATCTTCTTTGCCATCGAGGCCATGCTCAAGATAATTGCCTATGGCTTTCTGTTCCACACGGATGCCTACCTCCGAAATGGCTGGAATGTGCTCGACTTTTCCATTGTGACTCTAGGGTAAGGAAAAGCAGGGAGGCTGCTGCTGTTCTGCTTGTGCCAGGCCTCTTCCACAGCCAATCAGGGACTAGTTTTTCTGGTGATTGCAATGTGTTTGGGGACAGCTCCTCGACTAAGTTCATGGCCTTCTCCCATGGACCCCCTGTTGCTGCTCTGACATCCACTGGGATCCTCTCTAACTCTTATTTCTTCCCGTCTTGACTCCTTCATGCCTCGTAGGTCTCCTTGCCCTGGAGAAAGGGGGTGGCATGGGGTCCTCCAGGGTTTGCACATGGGCTGGGAGGTCCCTGGCTGTCAGCAGTGGAGCTGTGCCCAGGAGCTGGACTTGCCAAGAGCTGCCCCCTGGGTGAGGCTGAGCATGGCTGGCAGTCCTGCCTTGCTTTGCTGCCTGCAGAGCTCTGAATCTTTAGCTCAGATTTCTCAGTCTCCATTCTCATGCCCTTCTCCTTTTCCTTGTCCTTCCTTCTGCTTCTCCTCCTTCCTTCCCTGTGCCCTGGCTCTTTCAGGCTCATCACCATGACCCTGGAGCAGGTCAATGTGAAGCAGGGAGGGCCTTCGGGGGGAAAAGGCGGCTTTGACGTGAAGGCGCTGCGAGCGTTCCGTGTGCTGAGACCCCTGCGCCTGGTGTCCGGAGTGCCGAGTGCGTGCTGGGTGCCCATCAGGAAGGGCTGGTGGGTGGATGGAACCTCTAGGCCTGGCCAGGGTGGGAGCCATGGGACAGGTTTCTTGTTGTGGCTGGATCAAGCCCAGCCACAAAGCAGGTGTAGAGGAGGCTCGGGTTCTTGCTTGCTCCTCCAGCTGGTGGTTGTCAGCCCTGGGGATCTGCAGGTTGGCACAAGCCTGGCTGCCCCTGTGGCTCAGTGGCAGTACCTTTGGGTGCCCAGTGTGATGGGAGCCAGGATCTCGCTCTGGTTTTCAGAGCAGGGATCTTCCTCTTCCATAACTCATGTGAACACAACCAGGATGAGAGCACCAGAACAAAGGGAGGGGCACAGAGCAGCCTTCAGCACTGCCTGGCTCTGTTGTGCTCTTCCACCTCATGGTGGGTAGAAGAAAGGATTTCCTGCTTCAGAGATTTCAGTCCCACCCCACCTGTGCCTCTCTTCCCTTGGCAAGGGGCATTTCAAAGGCTGCTTGCTGGTGGGCTGGCAGGGATACAAGGTGCACCCAAAGCTTGTTAGGAAGTGTTTGACCTCCTCTCCATTTTTGTGCAGGCCTTCAGGTCGTCCTGAACTCCATCATCAAAGCCATGGTGCCCCTGCTGCATATAGCCCTGCTGGTCCTCTTCATGATCATCATCTACGCCATCGTGGGGCAGGAGCTCTTCAAGGGCAGGATGCACAAGACCTGCTACTACCTTGGGACAGGTGGAGCTGTGGTGGGGGGGATGCAGCAGAGTTGTCTCTGGGTGGCTGCTGTGAGACCACAGGGACTCTGTGTTTAGCAGAAAGTGTGGTCTTGCCAGCATCAGGCCTGGGAGTGTGGCGGGACTGAGGGATGTTTGAAACAGCGCCCAGCTGGGTGTGAGGGGTGCTGAAAGGGACCCGTCTGGAGGGGGAGGAAGCGTGGGCTGCTGTGTTTGGCCTGAGCTGCTGCTCACACCATGGCTTTGCCCCTCAGATGTGATTGCCACAGTGGGCTCAGAGAAGCCAGCTCCGTGCACCAGCTCCGGCCACGGGCGGCACTGCAGCATCAACGGCACCGAGTGCCGCAGCGGCTGGCCGGGACCCAACAACGGCATCACCCACTTCGATAACTTCGGCTTTGCCATGCTCACTGTCTACCAGTGCATCACCATGGAGGGCTGGACTGAAGTTCTCTACTGGGTATGATGCCTAAAAAACAGAGGCCAGATATAATTAAGGGAATAAAAAGGGGTTCTATTTATTGAAGGGCTTTCAGGTGCATTGGGGCAGACAATGTCTACACCCAAAAATGGACAACGGGTCATGGGTTTCACACTTTTATAAGTTTGGTCCACTTGCATATTGGGGGTTAATCTTCCAGTTCCATCTTCAGGTGATGAAGGAATTTACCCCCAGTTTGCTCTCCCCAAACTCACTTTTGTTTCCATCTCTTGGGGCCTGAGGCAGTGAGGTGTCCTTGATTCTCAGGCCTTGAGAGGAATTGTTGTGTCTGACCAAAATGGGAAAGCAGCAGCTCGCACTGTGTGTGGAGTTTAGAGTTATACACTAAAGAATTTCAGTATTACAAATATATGAAAAATATAAAAACTAAAATCCTAAGGCATCAGGTAGGCTGCAGCACTTTGTGCCCAGCTTGGTGCAGGTGATGCTCTCTCCTTGAGAGGAGACTCATGGTAGGGCTCAGTCTTTGCCGGTGAAAGACATCCTGCCCCCACCAACATTCTTACTGTGATGCACATCCCATAGCACACCACTCATGTCTCTGCAAGCTATCCTTGCCCTGCAGGTAGGCAGGAGATTGCTCCAGCTCCCACCTTCGTGAGTGGGCATGGGCCAGGCACAGCAATGACTGATGGATGCTCCTCCAGCAAAGCCCATGCTTTGCAGTCCTTGGGAGACAGTTGTGCTGAGCCTTGGGCTTGGGGCTGATGTTTCAATCTGCCCCCAAAATGTTTGGGTCTGGATGTAAACCAGACACAGAGTTCTAGGCAGCCAGGGCTTGGGGCCAGGTTTATGTGTCACCATCCCTGTTGAGAGGCTCTAAGGGGAAACAGATGGAGGACAGTGCCTTCAGAATATTTCACCTGCATCTCTTGTTGCCAGGTAAATGATGCCATGGGGAATGAATGGCCCTGGATCTACTTTGTCAGCCTTATCTTACTTGGCTCCTTCTTTGTGCTCAACCTGGTGCTGGGTGTGCTCAGTGGGTAAGTGCCACTCTATCCTTTCTGCCAGCAGAGGCAGAAAGCTTGCACTATACAAGAAAAAAGCCTGGAAAAATTCTGTTCTTTTCCCCCTCTCATTCCTCACCCCCCACTTTTTTTTTTTGTTTTGTTTTTTTTTTGTTTTTCACACTTAGAAACACTGATCTGTGAGTTACTTTTTGTGTTGGTGTCCATGGCTTTCAGAGGTTTTAGCTCAACTCTCAACACAGAAATCTTTTCCGTGTGGCACAAGCAGCTGTCAGCAAGCCCAGCCCTGGAGCACGTGGGCTGTGGTGTGTTGTGCCAGCTCACACAGCAAATGGAGCTGAGCAGGGAGCGGTCACTCCACAGCTCTGGGTCTGGACACTCCTCACTGGTACCTCCAGCTGTGAGCACACACGCTTTTCTCATGGCCAGCCTAAGGAGAACATCTTTGATGAGTGTGAGGGATCCAAGGGAAAGATTGTTAGTCTAATTACTGCTTCAGCAGTCTCGTCCAAGTACACCAATGAGCTGTCATCAGTCTGTTATGACAATCTAGGCCAAATTCAATTAGTGTTAATTCCCCCAGTAGCACAGTTAAAACCTGAGATGTTACACTCAACCTACCATGTTAACATCCCAGTTCTGTTGCTGGGAAATATGTGTTGTCCTGGGAAGTGAGGGGGGCTTTTCTCCTCAGGTCTGTGTAGGGTCAGGGTCTTTTTTATATGTTTCAGTCCTTGTTTGTATAAGTAGATCACACTCATCACCTCTGTTAGTTCACAATTACTTGATTTCTTGGGCCTCTTTTATGACAAGAACCATGCCACTGCATCATTAAAACAAACTGTGTGTTACAATAACTGAAACAAGTTTAAAAACACAAGATAAACCACAGGAACCTGATGCTTGTGTAGAGTTGACTGTAACTGCAGGACAAGCTGGACTATAGTCATCTGATCCTGGAGTAAGTTGCTGACACAATAAAGGTTCTGAAATATTTTTGCAAATACAGCCAAATTATGTTTGAGATCAGGAAAATTATTGTTATAGTGTCTGAGACCTATTACTAACACATGGCAACACCAGCACAGCTGGGCAGCAGGTCTACAGTCCTGCCAGACACCAGAGGAAAAAAGAAATTAATTGAAAGAGAGCAGGGAGAGTGGGCAAGGACCTGTCCTTTCCGTGTTACCATGAAAAGTGTCCTGTTTTCCTGCCATGTGATGAGATATGGAGAGCTTGGGGCAGGTTTTCACCCCCCAGCTGGGTGAGACCCCACTCTGATGCTTAGCAGGACTGGGGAACTGCCCTGGCCAGGTGTCAGTTGGGCTGTCCAGCTGCAGCAGCCTGCAGTGAGAAGCTCCCAAAGAGCAGCAGTGGTGGGGAAGGAGCCCTGCCTGCCACCAGGTGATGGGTCCCCGTGGCCTTGCATCGTGGGCCGGGAAAGAGGAATGTCACTGGAGTAGGGTAGTGGCAGTGCTGGTGGCAGGGTAGTGCAGGGCTTTCCTACAGGGCCTGGCCTGGCACAGAGCTGTGGTTCCTGACCTCCACACCATCCCCTGAGTCTCTGCTGCTTGCCTTGTCCCAGAGAGTTCACCAAGGAGCGCGAGAAGGCCAAGTCGCGGGGAACGTTCCAGAAGCTGCGGGAGAAGCAGCAGCTGGAGGAGGATCTGAAGGGCTACATGGACTGGATCACCCATGCAGAGGTCATGGACAGTGATCGGGCCAGGGGAGAAGGTACCAGCTCTGCTTGCTCACAGACCCGTAGCGTGAGGGTTGGCTTCCTAATGCTGACCACTGAGAGAACCTTTGAAGAACACCCAAAGACTCATTTTGCCTGAAAACCCATGAAACAAACTGCTTTGGCTTCTGCAGGACAATTTCCTTCCTCTTTTTTCACATTTCCTGAATAATTTGGTTGAATCTGATCCAAACTAGCAATAATTTATCCCCAGTGCTAAATCTCTGCTTCAACCACAAGGTTTAATATTTGCAAGGCCTGAATCTCCTTTGGCAAGAGGCACTTAAAATGGCCATGAGGAGTGTGTGCCCTTGGTGTGCAGGGATACAGTGCAGAGCCATGAGCTCTCACACTAGCAAATCATGGATTTCTTGCCATCACTTGACAATTTCAAGGGATTAGAAGTGGCTCAGAGGAGGAGGTGGATATACAGACATCTACCAAAAAGCTCAGCAAAGCCTGGGGAGCTCTAGCACAGAGCCACAGTGTTTGCTTGTTTTCACCCTGCCTGGTGAAAGCACTTTTGATGCCTCAAGCTGTGATGCATGCGTGCAAAGAGCCTTGGGAAACAGTGGGATGGACAAAATGCCTCTTCCAGAGCTGTGGCCTCTGCTCTGTTCAGCTTCTGCTCAGATCCCAACTGACCCCAGTGTTCTCCATGCTGGGGTACCTGCTGCTGTCCCTCTCTGGGCTGCTGCTCTTCCTGCAGGGCAGGAGTTTCTCATGCCCCATGCTTGATTTGCAGGTGATGCTCAAAGCCTTCTGCCCAAACTTGGTTGCTGACTCCCTGGGAGGGCTCTGTTTGGTGGGGATTATTCTCTTCTGATGGGGAAGCTCTTCCTGGTGTACTTCTGGAAGAGGTTTCCCCCCACATGTTCTTCCCAAGGGCTCCTAGAAAAGCCTGTAATGTCATTCCCTCTAGGTATGATGCCATCGGATGAAGGAGGGTCAGAGACTGAGAGCTTGTATGAAATTGAGGGCATGAACAAGTGGATTCTCTTCTTGTAAGTATGCTCTGACTGAACCATCTGCTCACTCCTGGGTTTCCACTGGCTCTCACTTGCTGGCCCAACTGGGCCAGGCTTTCCTGGTCAGCCCCCAGTTTCTGGCAGAGAGACAGGGACTGGTGCTTGGGGGAAGATGCAAACATTAGGGCAGCAAACAGGGAATTTGGCTGTGGTACTGGCAAAAAGCTCTTCAAGGTGAACAATGTCTTTGCTGTGGGACCAGGCTCTAAGCGTCCTCCCAAGCCTGTGCAGCAAGGCAGGTAATTTAGAAGCTAGCTAGGAGCCAGCTCAGAGCTCAGTGCTCACAAGGGATGGATGCTGGTTAGGAATCACCAGCCAGGGTTATCACAAGGGATAAGCTCCAGGGAGGTTTCTAAGGGTGCCCTGGAGACCATGGATGGCTCTGGCCACATCCTCCAGACAGTAACCAAGTCCATGTCCTTAGCACTGCTCTTCCAGATATCCTCCTCAATGTTTTCCCCTATGAGAGGTGCTGGAGGCCAAAATTAAGCCAGGAGGGTGAATGCACTGCAGGGCCTGAGTGAATGCACCGAGTTCCAGGGGCAGGTTATGGTCCTCATCCCCTTTCAGGGAGGGAGCAGGGGTGGCTTTGCCCTGCAGGCACAGCCCAAGGAGCTGGGTCTGGCCCCGTGGCCAGCTCTGCTGATCCTTTGCCGTCTCTCCAGCCGTCAGTGGAGGCGTTGGAACCGAATGTTTCGTAGGAAGTGCAGGGATGTGGTGAAGTCCAAGTTCTTCTACTGGCTTGTCATCCTGATGGTGGCACTGAACACCCTCTCCATCGCCTCTGAGCACCACTTCCAGCCAGAATGGCTGACACAGGTGCAAGGTGAGCAACCAGCCTAAGAGAGGGTCCAGGACACCATGCTGCCCCAGAACCCTGTGTGAGCTCCTGCTGTGAGTGCACAGCCACACTGACACGGCACAGAGGCTCCTAGGCACACACAGAGCCTGCACTCGGTGTGTGTGCATGGTCCTTGTCACACAGCTCACACTGACCAGCACAGCCTCTGCACCCCTAGGGACACGATCCTGCGTGCTGGACACACGCACAGTGCGTCCACTGGCACCTCTGCACACCTGGCACACACTCAAGCTGTGCAGTCACACGCATTTGTGCATGCAGCCACACTGACTGCACCTCCACCCACACACACACACACAGAGGCGCATGGAGCACAGGTGTGCACACACACACACACAGAGATCACACCCAGAGGTGCATGGAGCACAGGTGTACACAAACACACACACACACACACACACATACACACACACACACACACACAGCTCACACCCAGAGGCACACAGAGCACAGGTCTGGGCACACACACACATAAACACACACGTACCCAGAGGTGCATGGAGCACAGATGTGCACACACAGAGCACAGGTGTGCACACACACACACACAGGTCACACCCAGAGGTGCATGGAGCACAAGTGTGCACACACACACCCAGAGATCACACCCAGAGGTGCATGGAGCACAGGTGTGCACACACACAGCTCAGCCCCACGTGCACACCCTGCATGGACTCAGCACTGTACAGGTGTGTGCTCACACACACGGCTCACACCCAGAGGCACACAGAGCACAGGTGTGCCCACCCTGCATGGACTCAGCACTGTACAGGTGTGTGCTCACACACACAAGCATGCAGCTGCATGTCACCCTCTCATCTTCCTCCCCTGTGTGGCCCCCAAAAAACAGCTTGGTGGGCCAGAGGAGGGTGAGCAGCACTGCCCTCATTCCCTGGCTGGCCAGCCATGCTGGGGCTGAGGTCCCTGCTCTGACAGGCTGGATCTCCCACCCCAGACAATGCCAACCGGCTGCTGCTCGCCCTCTTTGTGGCCGAGATGCTGCTGAAGATGTACGCGCTGGGGCTGCGCCAGTACTTCATGTCGCTCTTCAACCGCTTCGACTGCTTCGTGGTGTGCTCAGGGATCCTGGAGACCATCCTGGTGGAGCTGGGCACCTTGTCCCCTCTGGGCATCTCCGTGCTGCGCTGCATCCGGCTCCTCCGCATCTTCAAGATCACCAGGTAGGGCAGGAAGCTTGTGGGTGCTGGCAGCTCGTGGTGCCTGGGCATCGCTCACAGCTCTGGGACATCACTGGCCCTGTCCCAGGGGAGGCTACAGCGTGAGCAGAGCTGGGAGCTGCTGGGTGGAGGAACAAGCCAAGGTGGGGGTTTGTGTCCAGGACATGGTTTGGCTGGGAGTGGAGAGTGGGACAGAGCTGAGGCCCCACTCTAGCTCTGGGTTCTGGATGTTTGGGCTTCTGTGGGCCAGGATTCCTAGCTCTTCCTTGTGGCCCCAACCCACTGTGTGTTCACCCCTCTTCCCCATCCTGCTTGCTGGTGCTCTGTGCAGGGAGCATTTTTATCTTGCTTGTCACACCATGACTGCAGCTTCATTTCTTCCTCCTGGAGCCTGCCTGGAGCAGTTCCAGAGCCCAGCCTGGGTCCAGACTCCCCCTTTCTGGGCTGCTGGCACACCACCTCAGTCTGTTTGGCTAGGTTCCCTGTGCCTGCCTGGTCCTGACCACAGCCTTCCCCACTCTTTCACCTCCCACATGCCTCTGTCTCTCCTTTTCCCAGGTACTGGACATCTTTGAGCAACCTGGTGGCCTCTCTGCTCAACTCAGTCCGTTCCATTGCCTCTCTGCTCCTCCTCCTCTTCCTCTTCATCATAGTTTTTGCCCTGCTGGGCATGCAGCTCTTTGGGGGCAAGTTTGATTTCGAGGACATGAAAGTGCGGCGCAGCACATTTGACAACTTTCCCCAGGCCCTCATCAGTGTCTTCCAGGTCTGGGGCTGTGGGAAGGGCAGTGGGGGGCTGGAGGGAGGGGGCTGGGGGCCTCACCTCAGCTGTGGGTCTTCAGGCAGGGGTTAGGTCTCAAGGGGATGTGGGTCTGTGGGGGTGATGTGGCTTTGAGACAGGAACAGGGAAATGCAACTGGAGTCACGAGCAGTGGTTCAGTGGCTGAGCAGAAAGGAGGATTTGACCATGGGGCTGGAGCCAAGGGTAGGATCAGTCTGTTCTGTCATGTTCTGCTGTGGATGCTCTTAAGTCTTTACTACTGCTCTGCTCCCAGATCCTGACTGGAGAGGACTGGAATTCAATCATGTATGATGGGATCATGGCCTACGGGGGCCCGTCCTTTCCTGGCATGCTGGTCTGCATCTACTTCATCATCCTCTTTGTCTGTGGGAACTGTATCCTCTGCCTGCAAAGCCAGGCCCAGGCCCCCTGCACCCAGCCCCATAGCATGGACTGCAGAGGACTGGGGAGGGGGAAGCAGGGGCTTTCCTCAGTGTTTCAGTGCTTGCATTTGGCTTTTCAGTTCTGGAGGGCAGTGGCTTCAGGGCTTGCATTGGTGGTAGCTGAAGGCTGGGGACTGGGGAAAGCACATCTGGAGCAGGTCTGGCAGGCAGAGATTCAGCCAGAGAAGGCAGCCAGCTCAGTGCTCACAAGGGATGGATGCTGGTTAGGAATCACCAGCCAGGGTTATCACAAGGGATAAGCTCCAGGGAGGTTTCTAAGGCACATCCTCCAGACAGTAACCAAGTCCATGTCCTTAGCACTGCTCTTCCAGATATCCTCCTCAATGTTTTCCTGGCCATTGCAGTCGATAACCTGGCTGAGGCTGAGAGCCTGACATTAGCCCAGAAGGCCAAAGCAGAGGAGCGCAAACGGCGGAAGATGTCCAGGTGAGCGCTGCCATCCCTGCCCATGGCAGCTCCCAAACGAGGTGTTTGGGTGTGAGGAGATGGAATCACCTTTCCCATGGCCCCTGCCCAGACTTCAGTTCCTGCTCTGCCCTCCTCTCTGCTTAGAGGTTACCCAGAGAAGTCTGAAGAGGAGAAGCAGATGCTGGCAAAGAAACTGGAGCAGAAAGCAAAGGGAGAAGGGATTCCCACAACAGCCAAGGTCAGTTCTGGTGGAGGTGAGCCTTGGAGAGCTCCTGGGGGGCCCTGGCTCCTCCTCCCACCAGCCAGGATAGACAAAGGCTTGGAGCCAGCCTGGGTTCGGCCTCTTGACCAGAGTCACTCCTTGCCGTAGCATCCACTGGTGATGGGGGCTCTGTGGGGCCAGGCAGGAGCTGTTGCCTGTTGCCTGGTGAAACAGCTGCATTGCTGGGGATCCTTTTTCTCCAGTGCATTTCCTTGGCCACAGCCAGTCCTCAGTGGCTGAGATGGTCTGGTGCACACCAGTGTGGAGTGGAGCAAAGCCAGTCAGCAGCACCCCAGATCTGCCTTATGTCCACACCAGCACCCCCAGTATGCAAACCCCTCTGTTCAGCTGTGCTGACTGTGCTGAGCTGCCTCTGAGAAACATCTGGCCAGCAGCTACTTTCATAGCCACTTTCCAGAGTGCCCTTGGAAACTCACCCAGGAGCTGCTCCCTATCTTTTTCCCCCTCTGGCATATTTTCATATTTTCAAGAGCTCCAGGCTCTTGCCCAGCACACACTCCTATTTCCCACCCTCTTTGCTTCAATTGGAGAATCCCCTCACCAGGTTCCAGCCTGGGCCAGCACTCCATGTGCCTGGTGCTGTATGGGCCAAATGCAGAGATGCTGCTTGTCCCACATGGCTTCCAGGATGAGAGGGTCTGACCAACTGGCACATGCAGCTGCACATCCTCCTGTCTGTCTCTCCCTTGTTTCAGTTGAAAGTGGATGAATTTGAATCCAATGTCAATGAGATCAAAGACCCCTACCCTTCTGCAGACTTCCCAGGTAAGACTTGTCCTGGCAGGGCAGCAGGGAGGCTGAGGAGAGAGCAAAGGATGCAGTGAACTTTCAGCCTTGGGGTACTGAGGTGCTTCTGGCTTGCATGCCAAATCAGGATGATGGAATTGGAAGATTGCCCATAAGGTCATATTCCCTCTCTGGATGATTCTTTTCTTTTCCCTTCTCATGGTCACCCTACAGGTGATGATGAGGAAGATGAGCCTGAGATCCCCCTGAGTCCTCGGCCACGTCCCCTTGCAGAGCTACAGCTGAAGGAGAAGGCTGTGCCCATGCCTGAAGCTAGCTCGTTCTTCATCTTCAGCCCAACCAACAAGTAGGCACTGCCCCTTCCCCCTGCCCTGTAGGGCTCAGGCTTGGCCCAGCTGTTCACAGCAGGGTCCTGTTTGTGCATGAGAGCCAGTTCTGAAGGGAACCAGCTCATGGGGAAAAGCCTTCTGTGTGGAAGGACTGGTACAGACATCCTTCCATGCCTAGGGCCTTCCTGTCCTCAGGGTTTAGCCATAACCCTCTGCCAGGCTGCCATGACCCTGTCTGATGCCCCTCTGGCCCCTTGCAGCATCCCATAGCATTTCTGTCCCTGGCAGGTTTCGGGTCCTGTGCCACAGAACTGTTAATGCCACCTGGTTCACCAACTTCATCCTGCTCTTCATCCTGCTCAGCAGCATTGCCCTGGCAGCTGAGGACCCCATCCGTGCCGAGTCCTTCCGCAACCAGGTGCCCACAGAGATGGAGAGGTTTGGGATGGGTGGGGGAGACCTCATGGAGATTCCCAGCTCCCCAGTAAGCCGGGATTTACTTGCCAGATGCTTTTCCTAGGCTGGGATTCCAACCCTGCCTCTGGGAGGGCAGTGCAGTCTGGCAGGAGAAGTTGGATGTGCTTTCCATTCAGGGTGCAGCACTGGGGCAAGGGTTTATTACTCCATATCTCCATTTACTTCCGGGTGAAAAGATCCACCTGACAGGGTGTGCAAGATTATTTTGGTTTGAAACTGTGGTGGGTTATTGGGGAAAGAGACATCCTGTGAGGCAGCAAACTGGACCTCTGGCGTGTGCAGTGCCCTCAAATGCTGCTGGCATGCAGCCATGGGAGACACAGCTCCTGTTCTGCAAGGTGCCAGGGACTGGGGGATCTGGTGATGATGACACATCAGACAGCTTCCCAGGGCACTTGGCGTTTTTTGGGATCACATGCTTTCAGGTGAATCAAGTGGAAGCCACCTGGAAAGCGAGAGCTTTGTCCCAGCTGCAGGTTGGAACATGCACTGGAGACAATCAGTAAAGCTGGGGAAAGTTCAGGAGTCGTCTTGGCTTGGTTTGATTTGGTTGGGTTGGGTTGGGTTTGGTTTGGTTTGGTTGTGTTTGGTTGGGTTGGGTTGTGTTTGGTTTGGTTTAGTTTGGTTGTGTTTGGTTGGGTTGGGTTGTGTTTGGTTGTGTTTGGTTTGGTTTGGTTTGGTTTGATTTGGTTGGGTTGGGTTGTGTTTGGTTTAGTTTGGTTTGGTTGGGTTGGGTTGTGTTTGGTTTAGTTTGGTTTCGTTGTGTTTGGTCTGGTTTGGTTGTGTTTGGTCTGGTTTGGTTGTGTTTGGTTGTGTTTGGTTGTGTTTGGTTGTGTTTGGTTTGGTTTGGTTTGGTTGGGTTGGGTTTGATTTAGTTTGGTTTGGTTGGGTTTGGTTTGGTTGTGTTTGGTTTAGTTTGGTTTGATTGGGTTGGGTTTAGAGACTGTTGAGCTAGATGGCCTCCCCAGTCCATAGAGTGGACAACTTCAGGATGTTTGAACACACTGAAGCGTTGAGATTGTCCTGAAGGTGAGTCCATGGTCCTACCATGAGCATGGCCTAGCAGATAGGTCTAGACTTTTGTGGCCATGAATGCTCCTGAGGATCTCAGTGAGGAGAAACTTCCAGCTGATCCTCCTGGAGAGTCCATTCACGCAGTCTGGGTGCTGTGTGACCTGTCCCAGAGGCCATGTGTCCTCTCCAGTGAGGTCAGGCAGCTAAGTCAGCTGTGCTGTGACATGGGGACACATCAACCATGGCACCAGCATTTTTATTCTGATGTGCCATTAAGAAAGAGAAAGCAGTGAAAATCTGTGGGCAGAAGTCTCAGTCCAAGCCACTGCCACATGTTGTTCCACTCCAAGAGTCTTTACTATTCTCTTCTTTAATTTGCTGACTGACCGGGAGAGTTTTGTGTCCAGCCAGTGCTGCACCGAGGATTTCCACCTGAAATCAGCTTCCTGCCTGGCTGCAGAGGTCTGAGCAGGACAGGGTCCCCAGGCCATGGAGCTGGGAGAAGTCCCTTGTGCCTTGTCCACCTTTCCCCTGTGGAGGAACCATGCCCTGAGCCCTGCCCAGTCTCTTTCCTAACTCCTTCTGCTCCCCAGATGACAACCTACGGTGCTTTCCTGCACAAAGGCTCCTTCTGCAGGAACTCCTTCAATATCCTTGACTTACTGGTGGTGGCTGTCTCCCTCATCTCCATGGGATTTGAGTAAGCACCTCCATGTGCCACAGGGTGGGCACTCGGCTGTTCAGGCTGCTGGGGCAGCTGGGGATGGTGGGTGGAGAAGGAGCAGCCAGCCCAAAGGCTGGCCATGTGTCTGTTATGTCATATTTAGGGGATATGGGCATGGGAGGCAGGCCCACAAAGTGGTCAAGGAGGTCAAAGGACACTCCTCGAGTATCAAACATCTATGGGTAGAAATTCAGTTTGGATTCACTTTCTCCAGCTGCCAGTGTCACTTGGCCTTATGTGGGGTCATGGCCGGTGACACCTGCATGTCTCTGCCACCCCTTGTCCCTCACAGCTGGCCCCAGCCTGCCCTCCTTGGCTGCTTGGTGGGGTTGTGCCAGTCTAGCCTGGGCGGGGAAGCGGCCTCACCTCAGCTGTGCCCTCCTGCCCAGGTCCAGTACCATCTCTGTGGTGAAGATCCTGCGGGTGCTGAGGGTGCTGAGGCCTCTGCGGGCCATTAACAGGGCAAAGGGGCTGAAGGTAAGTGGGAGCTGGGACGAGGGGACCTCCTCCCCTGGCAGTCCTACCAGGAGGTTGTGTGGCAGGCATGGTGCCCTGTCCCCAGTTCCCACTACCTGTCTGTGGGTCTGCCCAATCCCTCTGCTCTCTTCCTGGAGAGGGAGGGGTGGGATGCAGAGCAGGGGCTTGCCCCAGCTGTGGTCACATCTGCCCTGTCCTTCACCTCTGCAGCACGTGGTCCAGTGCGTGTTCGTGGCCATCAAGACTATTGGGAACATCGTGGTGGTCACGACATTGCTGCAGTTCATGTTTGCCTGCATTGGAGTCCAGCTCTTCAAGGTGAGCGGTGTCTCAGGTGGGCAGGAGGGGCCTCCTCGAGCACATCCTGGCCAGGGTCACCTGGGCATCACCTTGGGGATGGTGCCTGCCAGTGCTGGGTCAGCACAGGCTGTGCTCTGCGAGGGGACCCACAGAAGAGCCTGCAGTGAGAGGAGGGCAGGAAGCACCCAGGGTGCTGTCAGGTCCAGAGAACACCTCTAAAGGAGCTGAATCATCTCCCTTCATGCCTCAGTTTCCTCTCTCTAATGCAGCAGCGCTTCTGACCGATTTCCTCTGTGCTTTGTGAAGGGTTTCCTTTCTCACAGCACCGCTCCTGCTCTAAGGCAGAGCTGGCCCTGGCTGAGCTCAGTTTTGTTCTAATAACTGAGCTTAAATTCTGAGCTGATGTGGGAGGAGCTTTCAGGACACCCAGCAGACTGAGCAGACCTGTCAGCATACCTTAGCTTTTAGTTTATTCTCTGGTTACTGCTTTCTTCCCTATTTTCCAAATAGTTGGCTGCCAGCTAGGGTGAGCTAGGTAGGCCTCAGCTCAGGGCCGTGGAAGGTTTGCTCCCATCACCAGGCAGTGTTTCCTGATTTCAGCCTGGGATTGACCCCAGGTGTGCCATGGCTCTGGAAACGCCTTGTGAGCTGGGCTGTGTTGGCAGGCACAGTGGGGAGGCCAGTGATGGTGACCAGGGCCAGAGTCTGCATGGAGGTGGTGATGGGGGGGAGTGACTGAGGGCTGGGAAAATGTCAAAACTTTAGGGCTTCTAAAGTGAAAACAATACCATGGACACTTCTGGTCTCTGTTGAATGCAGGGCAAGTTCTACAGGTGCACAGACCCATCCAAGCTGACGGAGAAGGAGTGCAGGTAAGAGCTCTCTGCAGCTCCCAGGTGGGCAGTGGCCAGGGATGGGAGCTGGGGGGGATGTGGTGGGCAATGCTTGTGTTCCTGTGTGGGAATGTTGCATCCAGAAAGTGGATCTGAGGTGTCATCCTGTTCTCCCTCTCCCTGGGGTCAATCAGGAACAAGCACAGGGCTGTCCTCCCCTCCCAGGGACCAAGGAGGCCCAGGCCAGTGCTGCAGCCTGGGCTGAGGGGGCCCTGAGCTCTGTGTCCCCTCTGCTGCAGGGGTCAGTTCATCAACTATGTGGACGCAGACCCCACGCAGATTGAGGTCCAGGAGCGTGTCTGGCTGCACAGCGACTTCCACTTCAACAACGTCTTCTCAGCCATGATGTCGCTCTTCACTGTCTCCACCTTCGAGGGCTGGCCAGAGTGAGTCCCTCTGAGAGGTCTGTGCTGGGAGCAGGGCACTGCCATGGGCCTTGGCCAGGGTAAAGAAAGAGGAGCTATGCAGGTGGAAAAGCAGGACCAGTAACCCTGGCAGTGGCTGTGGAGCTGGCAAGGTTACCCAAGCAGCCCTGCCCCACCATTGTTGGATGTCCTGAAAGCTCTCTGTAACCTTCAAGAGGAGACATGGTCTTTCCCACCCATTTAGGATTTCTGTTGCCTCGATTTCCCTCCTGTAGGCTGCTGTACATGGCCATTGACACCAATGCTGAGGATGCAGGCCCTATCTACAACTACCGGGTGGAGATTGCAATGTTCTTCATCATCTACATCATCCTCATTGCCTTCTTCATGATGAACATCTTTGTGGGCTTTGTTATCGTCACCTTCCAGGAGCAAGGGGAGAATGAGTACAAGAACTGTGAGCTGGACAAGAATCAGGTAATGGGACAAGAATCTGGCACTGCTGGGGCTGCCTGATTTGGATCAGCCCTTCTTTGTGGTGGCACTGCTGAGTGAGATGAGTTGAACCTGCCCCAGGTCTGTTTGCTGCTGGGTCAGGGCTGGCTGGACCCATGTCTAGTACAAAAGAAGCCTGAAGAAGGACAGAGGGGACCAGAAACAGGGAGTGGGCCTCCCTGGACAGGTAGGGTGCCCAGAGTGAGCTGGAGCAGGGGGTTGTGCCCAGTTCTGGGCTCCCCAGTACAAAAGCAACATGGGTGTACTGGAGTGAGTCCAGTAAAGGATCAGCAAGGTGATGGAGGGTCTGGAGCATCTAAGGAGGGTCTGGGAGTCGAATCTGGTGCTGAGGACACTTGTAGGAATCTGACCTATGGGTATAAACACTGATGGGAAGGCATAGAGCAGACTGAGCCAGGCTCTTTGCTGTGCCCTGTGACAGGAAAAAATGCAATGGACACCAACTGAGGAAAACAAGAAATTCCATTTAAACATTAAAAAAGCCCTTTTTTAATGGTGATGGTGGCCAAGCACTGGAACAGGTTGCCCAGAGAGGCTGTGAAGCCTTCATCTTTGGAGATATTCAAAAGCAAACTGTCCTGGGCAGCATGCTCCAGTTAGCCCTGCTTTGGGCAGGAAACTGTGACTAGACCATCTCCAGAGGTACTTTGTGCTGCCAGATCTTCTGAGATGCTGTCAGGCTGTCATTCTGGTCGGGGACAGCAAGGCTGGAAGCAGCAGAGGCATTGGCAGAGGATGTGGGACACACTGGGGAGGAAATGGAGATGGACATGGGCAGGGGCAGCTGCTGGCCCCAGAGTGCTGCCATGCTCTGAGGCAGCACAGACAGCTTGAGCTGGGGGTGCCAGGGTGATGTGAAGAGGACAGAAACCTAGCAGAGATGGCCCTGGGCTGCTGGGGAGGGACAGGCCGGTGCAGCCATCTCAGTGGTTCATGTGGTGTCTCCAGGGTGCTCTAAGCTGGTCCTGAGACAGCCTGGGGAAATGCTGGCACAAGCAGGCAGGCTCTGAGCTGGAGGGGTCAGGCCAAGGGCAGCATGGCCATCTTTGGAGGCAGAAGATAGCTCTGGAAGCCTGTCCCAGGGGATGCTCTGGGCTGTTTTTGCAGGAAGCACAGTGGTTTCATGAGCACTGAACCCATGGGGCTGGGCTGGGAGAGAAGGGCGCTCCAGCCTGGCTCTGTGGGGATGTGCAGTGTTGCTGGTGGTGCTGGGTGTGCACCCTGCAGTGGGATCACACCTCCCTCCCTCCCTCCCCCAGCGCCAGTGCGTGCAGTACGCGCTGAAGGCTCGCCCGCTGCGCCGCTACATCCCCAAGAACCCCTACCAGTACCAGATCTGGTATGTGGTCACCTCCTCCTACTTTGAGTACCTCATGTTCTTCCTGATCCTCCTCAACACCATCTGCCTGGGCATGCAGGTAAGGGCACAGGGCTGGTGGAGGGGGGCCTGTGGGAGTGCACAGCCTGGCTCAGCCCTGTGATCCCCAAGAGAGCCTCTGGGTAGGGGGCACTTGCTTGTGGGATGATGGGGAAAAACTGGACTGGTGGGATGTGGGGAGCCCCGAGAAGGGGCTGCAGCAGGGGGGAAATCTCCTCCCTGTGGGAGGGGGCTCTGCATCCAGCACACATCTCTGAGCTCACAAGGGAGGCTGGATCTGCCCTCAGCTAACAGCTCCTTCTGCCTTATCCTCAGCATTACAACCAGTCTGCAGAAATGAACCACATCTCAGACATCCTCAACGTGGCCTTCACCATCCTCTTCACCCTGGAAATGGTCCTCAAGCTCATGGCCTTTAAAGCCAAGGTGAGAGAAGAGCATGATCAGCACGGAAAGCAGGCCAAGCCACGGGTCCATTTATCCTGCACTGGGCATCTCTTGAGTACAAGCACCCCTAGCCCTGCAGCTCCACAGAACTTTTCCTTGCAAGACCCTTAGGGACCCCCATGTGCAGGACCTTGGAGTTTCTGGAGGGACTACTGCTTGTCAGGGCTACCCTTGCTAGCCAAATCCCACCCAGTCCAGTTGGCCTTTATTCCCATCTTCAGTGTCATGTCCACAGTGGGGTCAGCTCCAGACATCCTGATCCACCCTCCTCATTTCACTCCATGGCAAGACAGGGCCAAATATCTGAGCAGGGGGTGCAAGCTCTGACCACCATCCCTTCTTCTGAGGGTCAGAGTCACTGAAGAACCTTCTGGTACTCCTTCCTCTGGGCTCCAGCCTCTGTCTCCTTGACTTACACCCTTGCATATTCACTTTTCTTTGGTTCCTCCCTGACAGGGCTACTTTGGAGACCCCTGGAATGTCTTTGACTTCCTGATAGTGATTGGCAGCATCATCGATGTCATCCTCAGTGAGATTGATGTAAGTGTCCGGGGGCCTGGGCTCGGAGCTGTCCCCACCCAAGGCTGCCCTGGGGCCAGGCAGGAGTGCTGGGATGGTGTCCAGCTCTGCAGGGGGATGGTGGCCTCTCCTCTCTCCCTGCTCTGCTTGGTTCTGAGGGACAATCAGCACATGGCACGAGCTCATGGAGGGCACAGCTGTGGCCCCTTGAGCATTAAAGCACGATTTAAACATCCCCAACTGCCCAGCTCATTACACTGCCCCCTCCTCTCTGGTCCCCTGAATCTGTGGGCACTGGAGTCCTGTGGAAATCGGTCACTCTGGAGTAGCCCATGGGCAGCAGGCTGTGTGCCAGCCCCTGCCCCACTGCCCCTGAGCATGCCTGGGCAGACATCCACACACCCAGCCTCAGATCAGTGCAGGTGGGAGTGAAAGGGTTCCCACAGCTCCTGTCCCCACAGCTCCCTGCTGGCCCAGGTCAGACACATCAGATTTCAAGACATTTGCTTTGTGTGTGTCCCTCTACACATCCACACACCGGTGATGTATGTGTGCCAGTGTGAGCTCCAGACATCCCTGCAGGAGCTTTGCACTGTGTAAGCTCCGGGGCTGGTGCCTCAGGCAGTGCCTGTTTGCTGAGTGCTCTGCTGGGAGCATTTTCAAAGCAGTGCTGGGAAGATGCCCCTGCCTTCCCTGGCACTGGGACATCCACACCTGTGTCTGGCCCTGAATACATCATCCCCCTGCTGTGGGAGGTGTGTGCTTCCTTCAGCAGCCCTGCTGGTGGCTCCAGAGGCAGCTGTGGAATGGGGAAATGATAGATTAACCCTCTCCAGTGACTTAGCAGTGTCTCCTCAAAGGGTTGCCAGCTCTGGTGCACTGCAGGGCTGGGTCTGGCACTGCTGCTGCCTCTGCCACCCCTGCACTGCTGGCTCACCTTCAGATGCTCTCTGTGCAGGAAGGTGGGGTTTTCAGAGACCCTTGAGAGCAGTCATCTTCTTGTCTGTAGGGCATTCCAGGCCTCACAGATTTGGGAAGAGCAAAAACCACCCACCTTCCTCTCCTGTGAGAGCCCTGTGTCCCTCTCTGCACAGTCCTGCCCATCAGTACAGCCATCCTCTGGCCTCTGGGCTTCTCAGTCTTCACAAGCTCCCAGATTTCATGCCAGTGCCAACAGCTTTCATCTGTCATCAGCTCCTCCTCATCCTTGCCCACCGGCTTTGTGCACCTGTGACTTGGTTTCCCAGAACTGAAGTTCAAGGGGTGCTCAAGGCCCTGGACTGGGCAGTGGTTTTTAGTCCCTCTGGAGCAAGAGACCACTTGGCACACATACCAAAATTCTACTGTCCTTGCTGAGGGTCTGTGGGGATGCCCAGGACACATCACAGGCACCAGGAGGAGCCTGGTGGCCTGACTGGGCTGGCAGGGACTGACCCAGGTACTGTGGCACAGAGGAGGGTCAGTCCCTCTTGGTCCCTGTGGTTCCTTGCTCACCCAGATGCCACCTCTGCCTATCAACAATCACATCCCCTTGTCCCTGAGCCTAAGGGATGGTGAGGCTCTGCCTGCCCTTCCCTGTGCCCCTCCTCTTCTCCCCAATTTCCATCTTACTCCTCCTGTGTCTGCGTTATCNCCTCAGGGCCGGGCAGTGCCTCAGGGCCGGGCAGTGCCTCAGCCCTGGGCAGTGCCTGAAGCCCGGGCAGTGCCTCAGGGCCGGGCAGTGCCTCAGGGCCGGGCAGTGCCTTAGCTCTGGACAGTGCCTCAGCCCCGGGCAGTGTCTCAGCCCTGGGCAGTGCCTCAGCCCTGGGCAGTGCCTCAGCCCCGGGCAGTGCCTCAGGCAGTGCCTCAGGGCCGGGCAGTGCCTCAGGGCCGGGCAGTGCCTTAGCTCTGGACAGTGCCTCAGCCCCGGGCAGTGTCTCAGCCCTGGGCAGTGTCTCAGGACCGGGCAGTGTCTCAGGCAGTGCCTCAGCCCCGGGCAGTGCCTCAGCCCTGCGCTGTGCTGAGCCTCCGTGCCAGCCACAGAGAGCTGTGCTGCCGTGGGGCTGAGCCTCCCGGGTGTGAGATCCACAGAGAAGGGCCCTGCAGGAGCGGGGTGGAAGGAGCAGGGGAGCTGTCCCCTCCTCACACAGGGACCAGATCCGCCTCCTGCAGCACCTCCAGAGCCGACACCCCGTCCCTGGGCTGTGTCTCACACATGGTCCTTTTGTCATAGGCTCTGCCATACGTGGCCCTGCTGATTGTGATGCTCTTCTTCATCTATGCTGTGATTGGGATGCAGGTGAGGGGCACAGGGGCAGGGGGTGGGAATTGGTCTTCATCAGATGCCCTGAGCCTGATGGCACCTGGGGAGGTGGGACAGGGAGGGACTGGTTCCTCTGTTAGGCCCTCTCTGGGACTTTGCACATGATGGGACGTGTTTGCTCTGGATGTTTGCCACCCCAGCAGCCTCCCATCCCTGGTCTGCAGCCAGGGCAGCTGAGCACATGGCAAGGAGCACTTTGGGATCAGTGGCACAGCCTGGACACACAGGTACCAGTGCTCGTGCTGGCTCAGGAGGCCTCGTCTCCTTGGCCCAGATGCAGTGCTGTTGTACTCAGAGGTGTTTTCAGTACTGGCAGGAGTGACCGAGTAGCTTCTAAGGCCCAGAGCACCCACACCTCAACCTCGATCTGTTTTGGGGATGCCCAGAGCCAAATAAACAAGAGGAAGTGGTGCTCCGGAGGGTGGTTGGTGCCAAAGAAAGGATGGCACACTGGAGACCTCCCACTGTGATTTACAGATGTTTGGGAAGATCGCCATGGTGGATGGGACCCAGATCAACCGAAACAACAACTTCCAGACCTTTCCACAGGCTGTGCTGCTGCTCTTCAGGTCAGTCTTGTCCTGTTGTGAAAGCAGCTCCAGCAGGGAGCCGGGCTCTGAGCCTGTGGGAATGCCCAGCTGGGAGTGAGGGAGGACCCCTCACAACATTTCACTGGCTGATTTCTTTTTTGTCCCACAGAAAGGTCTGCAGCAGTGGGAGTGTTTCAGGAGAGGCTGTGGGTTTGCTTGGTGTGGCTGGGCTCCCAGAGGGAGGGGAATTTTAGGGTTGCTATTCTGAATATTTCCTTCCCAAACTGGATTTTAATTTGTGAATTGTGAGGAAACTCATGGGAAGCAGGAGCTCAGCCCAAGGCTTTCCTTGACTCTTTGTTAAAGCTTTCAGTGGCCCTATAGCAGCAAGCCCAGAATCCTGACTGCTCCTTTCCCAGCAGCTTCCCATTCCCCTGTGTGCTGGGCTGGTCTCAGCCCTCCCTGCATGGCCAGCTCCTGCCCAGAGCAGGCGGGGAGCAGCAGGTGTCCCCTCTCACAGGTGTGCCACCGGTGAAGCCTGGCAGGAGATCCTGCTGGACTGCAGCTACGGCCGGCGCTGTGACCCTGAGTCCGACTATGCCGAGGGCGAGGAGTACACCTGTGGCACCGGCTTCGCCTACTTCTATTTCATCAGCTTCTACATGCTCTGTGCCTTCCTGGTATGCTGGCTCCCACAGGGCCCCTTTGGCATCCCTGTCCTCCCTGGGTAGCCATGGTGGTGTGAGTTGTGGGGTGAGCCCACAGCACCTCCTCCTGGGGCCATCACCCCCAGCCCAGCTAGCCAGCCTTGCTGTAAACTGACACCGCACTCCTGGGGGAACCAGGATCCCCTTGTAGGCTCTTCACACAGCTTCTGTGTGCTGCCTTCCAGGTGTGTTTTGTTGGCCTTGACAAGGGTGGAGAGGGACAAGATGCTGATGTGCTCGTCCTTTCACATGACCTGCTTGAGCAGGAGGTTCCTCTCTGCATGGGAGAACCCTCACTCTGATTCCAGGAGATCCCAAGCCCCTTCTGCTCCAGAACACATCTGCCCATGTTTTTGTAGTGCCGGTGCCTCTCCCCTGACTGGCTCCTTCCCATCCATTCCTCTGCCCTCAGATCATTAACCTCTTTGTGGCCGTCATCATGGACAACTTTGACTACCTGACACGGGACTGGTCCATCCTCGGACCCCATCACCTGGATGAGTTCAAGCGGATCTGGGCCGAGTACGACCCCGAGGCCAAGTGAGTGTGGGTGGGTGGGAGGCATGGGGAGGCTGTGCCATGGAGTGGGGGGCATGTGTGGCAGGGGCAGCTGTGGCACTGCCTACGAGTCAGGTTCCAGCACCTCAGAGGTGGATGTGGACTCTCCAGAGTTGATCCAGGTCTGGTAAAAGCCATCAGGGTATTTCAGTTCCTTCTTCATCCAGCTGTGGTGAGGCTGCCGACTCTTCCCATGCCACTGCACTCCTTTACCTGCTCCCCAGTGCCACAGGGAGCAGCTGCTTTCCCCAGGAGGAGCAGAGGCAAGAGGAGGGATTTGTCCAGCACAGAAGCACGGGGCAGCTCCCAGGGATCAGCCCCCAGAGCACCACCCCAAGCTGCTGTCTGCTGCCTCACTGCTGAGCTGCTGTGCTTCCTCTGCAGGGGGAGAATCAAGCACTTGGATGTGGTGACTCTGCTGAGGCGTATCAACCCTCCCCTGGGCTTTGGGAAGTTCTGCCCACACCGTGTAGCCTGTAAGGTAGGAGCCAAGGGGGGTGACAAGGTGTGTGAGCACAGGGACACCTTCCCAAGCTGTCCTCCAGGCAGGCTGAGAGTGACAGTCCAGCCATCTTCCAGTGCCATTCTCTGCTCTGACCTCTCCTTTTTAATGAAGGAGGGCAAGGAGAGGTGCTGCTGACCCACAGAGCTGGGGTGGTTCAGGCTCCTGAAGATCAGGACTTACCTGTGCTCACCTCCTGCTTCAAAGGTGTGGCACGGATGGGCTGGCTCTGCCCAGAGCCCTCCTCACAGGGGACTTGCAGGCCACACTGCAGCTGGTGCAGGAGGGCAGTGCAGGGCCTGAGCATGTGGCCATGTCAGCTGGGCTGTAGAACTTGTTTCCAAGAGCTGGTAGTGCTTAGGGAGAAGGAAATCCCAACTTTTTCAGCAGAAATACACTTTTCCTGCCTCATCTCATTCTGGACAAATCCAGGGCCTGTGTGAGGCTCATGTGTGACATGCATGGGCAGGAGCTCAGGCACTGGTGTAATCCCTGCTGGGTTTTGGGCAGACACATCAGGAGATTTGATCCCCAGATTCCTCACAGCAGCCTGGGACACGTTTTGGAGTGGGGAGTGCAATGCAAATGACTCCCACCTCTCTGAAAGCAGCTGGGGGGATTCAGCCTGGAGAAGGGGAGGTTCAGAGGGGACCTTCTTGCTCTCTACAGCTCCCTGACAGGAGGCTGAAGCCAGGTGGGAGTCAGTCTCTTCTCTCAAGTAACAAATGACACTACATGAGGAAGCAGTCTCAAGTTGCACCATGAGAGGTTTAGGATGGATATTAGGGAAATTTTTATCACCAAAAGATTGGTTAGGCCCTGGGAGAGGCTGTCCAGTGGGTTACCACCCTGGAGGGATTTAAAAGCCGTGTGGATGTGGTGCCTGTGTACATGGTTTTTGTGGTGGCCTTGGCAGTGCTGGGGGGACAGTTAGACCTGATGATCTTACAGATCTTCTCTGACCTAAACAATTCTGCAGTTCCATGATTTTCTCCCATGGCACAGTGCCCCTGTAGGTTATTTCCCCTAGCTCTACCTGTCCTGATGGGACACTTGTGGCTGGGTTCTTTTCCTCTTTGGACTGAGACTGATGAGAGAGAGGCAGTTTTCTCTTGTTTGGACTTGGTTGTTTATTCTTCTTTTATCTATATTACATATATACAGGGTACAAGGAGCTATATGCACTAAGATAGAAAGGTGCAAAATGGCTAACAAGGAACTTCTTCAAGGTTTTTTATATGTCCATTTACCCAATTAACAAATGCCAAGTAAATGATTTTTCTTAGTGACTCAATGACCCAACACCTGTGTGCTGCACTGTGGCATTCTTTATCCAATCACTTATTACTACCCAAAAACCTCTAGAAGAAGATGATGAAGAAGGAAGAAGAAGGAAAAGAGACAACACTCTAAATCCTCCATCTTGTATTTTGTTTTTTAAAAGAGCTTAAGCCTTTAACTTTTCCACCCAGTGACTTAAGAAAACTCTCCAAGTTACACACTCACACTCTTAGATTTTCTATTTAACAGTTGTTTTCATGGTGCTTTCTTGGATGTCAGAGCCAGATATCAAAGATAAGGGCACACACTCTGCCTCTGACTCCAGCATCTCCCCATCACTTGCTGTGGTTCAGCAGGCTGGGATCAGGGATGTCACTGCCCCTGGCAATTGTGGTAGCAGGAGTGATGCAGAGCCCCTGGGCCTGGGCAGAGCTCCGTGCCCTGAGCAGAGGCTCCGGCCAGGACAGGTGCTGAGTCTGGGGGCTGGCAGCCTGCTCTGTGGCCTGGGGTCACGGCTGTTGGTTTGCTGTGCAGCGCCTGGTGTGCATGAACATGCCCCTGAACAGCGACGGCACCGTCACCTTCAACGCCACCCTCTTTGCTCTGGTGAGGACAGCGCTCAAGATCAAGACAGAAGGTAAGCAGTGATCTTGTCTGCCTCTGCAGCCTGACAGGGGACCTTCCTTGTGGTGCTGGGTGTGGGTGACACAGCATTCCCCCACTGGCTGGGGATCTCAGGCACTTGTGTGTGGGATCAGAGCCTGTGGACAAGCCCTCAGCTCTGTTCTTATTATCCTGTTATCCTGTTATCTTATTATTATCTTACTATCTGGTCCATCTCTTTGGACCAGAGCCCCTGGGTGCCTGCATGGCCCTGCTCATGTTATTAGCTGCTGGCCCACGTTGCAGCCCTGAGGAGTGAACCAGTGCCACCAGTGCCACCCTGAACAGCTCAGGAGTGGGGCTGGTCCAGCTCCCACCCTTTGAATTTGTCTGTGCTGGGGAGGAGCTGCTTTCACCCCTTCCTTGCCAGCAGCATGGTTTGCTGAGCTTTGCTGTGGGAAGCTGTTTCTGTGCCTGTGGGCTGTGCCCGTGGTGTGAGCAGCTCTGGGCTGGGCTCCTGGGATCAGTGTGTTCCAGCAGTGTGGCGTGCTGCTTCCCTCTGGCTGGGGTGGGAACATGGCAGCCTGGGAGAAGCACAGGAGATCCTGCAGATAGACTGGGATTTCAGGAATGGTGAACCCTGTGGGAGCACCAAAGGGGAGGTCAAAATCTGTAAAGTATTCCAGCCAAAATCAAAGCCTCACTCTTACAAAGCTCATTTTTATTGTGTGGGGAGACAGAGAGGAGCTGTCACACCCTCCAGGAGATTGGCCAGGTGTTCACATGCTTTGTCTTCACTCCTGTTCACATCCCTGGGGATGAACTGCTCTGTCCTGCTCGCTTTCCTCACAGGTAATTTTGAACAGGCCAATGAGGAGCTCAGAGCTATTATCAAAAAAATCTGGAAGAGAACGAGTATGAAGCTTTTGGACCAGGTCATCCCACCTATTGGAGGTATGTCACCAAGTGGCACTTCCCAGAGGGACAGAGAAATTCCTGGTCAGGTCTCACTGCTCCAGCCACTTGGGATCTTGTGACAGGCAGAATCATCATATTGGTTTCCTCCCTCCAGATGATGAGGTGACAGTGGGTAAATTCTATGCTACTTTCCTGATCCAAGAACATTTCAGGAAGTTCATGAAGCGCCAGGAGGAATATTACGGGTACCGGCCCAAGAAAAACCCTGTGGAGATCCAGGTTGGTGTATGGGTGGTGCTGGAGGGGAGGCAGGGAGTTCTGCAGGTCAGGGAAGAGGTTTCTCCCAGCCTGGAGAAGACCAGGGTGGCTCAGAGAGCTGCAGGATGCCTGTGCCCCAGGCCTCTGGAAGTGAGGTGTCCCAGGTAAACCAGCACTGGCCTGGGCATGCATCCCGCAGCGAGTGTGACCTCGCTGTCCAGGGTGCAGGTGAAAAACAAAGGAGGGTTTTGACTCTCTGCTCCACTGACTCCAGCTGTAGAGAGGGCTTGGCAGGATCTGGTGCCTCACCAAGGAGTTTTAAGACCTGGAAACTCCCACCACAGACCACTGTCTGTGCCAAATGCTGCTCATCCAAGCCCTTACCCACCTGCTCTGTTCCAGTCCCAAGGCCCTCTCCTCGTCTCCCCTTAGCAGTGACTGGATAGCTCCATGTCCCTGGTGCTCTCTGTGTTCTCTCAGCCTTACAGAGCATCAGGTGGAGGGGGTTGAACATGCCTGAATTTGAGTGGGACCCCTGCAGTCAGAGAAGCTTGCACAGCAGGCCTGAGGGGTGCTGGCACAGGATTTCTGTGCCTGGCCAGAAGGCTGGGATGTCCCTAGCCTCTCCTGACTCTGTAGGGAGGAAATCACCTGTAGAGATAAAAGACCAGGCCCCAAAGGTGCAAAGCCAGGAAAAGAGCCAGGTCCCAGATCAGGGACAAAGGCCCAGCCTGCCCTTGGCTGTCTCTAGCCCAACTCTCCATCAGGCTGCCCCTGGCATTCCCTTTTGTGGGACAGCATGAGCCCAGAAACTGTGGGGCAGCTGTGGGACAGCAGGAGCTCAGGGGCAGTGTCCCCAAACACAGAGCCAGCAGCTGCAGGGTGTGACCATGGCCTGTCCCTGGCAGGACACCTGGCAGGGGGATCCTCATCATGTTTCCCTCTCCAGAGACCAAGGTGAGGGGTGGTGACATCAGCCCTGTCTTCCTGTCCTCTCCAGGCTGGGCTGAGGAGCATTGAAGAGGAAGCTGCCCCTGAAATCCACCGGGCCATTTCTGGGGACTTGACTGCAGAGGAGGAGCTGGAAAGAGCCATGGTGGAGGCTGCCCTGGAGGAAGGGATATACAGGGTGAGTTCAGCCCTCAGGGAACAACAGTTTGGTGGTCCCACCCAGCCCTGGTTTCAGAGTGGTGCTGGTGGGCCAGCTTGGCTGCTGGCACTGGGGGACAGTCTGCAGGGTGTGGGCCAAAGCATGATCAGCACCTCTTTCCTTTCTGTGGGCATCAGGACATCCCGGTCCTGTCACCTTGGGCAAGCTGCTCTCTGCTTCCCCTCTGTGAAAGGACCCAGCCCATGTTCCTGGCAGGGCTGTGCTGGATATTTACCTGCTGGTTTGGAGGTTCCCACTCACACCTTCTGCCAGGCTAAGGTGGGACAGCTCTGGTGTCACAGGAACTGCTTCACTTCCCCCTCCCTGGGAGTCTCAGAGACAGTCTGGGCAGCTGTGGGGTTGCAGAGTTGCACCTTCTTCTGTGTCCAGAGGTGTCACCACCCCAGGCTGTCCTGCAGAGGTGACAGGATTTGTCCTGGATGGTTCTGCATGGCCAGAAACCCTCGGTGCCTCAGTTTCCCTACCTGGGCAGTGAGGCTTTTGGGATCATGTGGTCTGCAAGGCCTGAGCAGAGCAATAATTGTTTCGACATGGGAATGGCCCCAGAGCAGCCTGGAGCTCCAGGCTTGCCCTGATGCCCTCCCTGTTGGTTGCAGAGAACAGGTGGCTTGTTTGGCCAGGTGGACAGCTTCATGGAGCCCAGCAGCCCTCTGCAGCCCCAGGTGGCCAGCCAGAGGCCCCTGCAGTTCACTGAGGTGGGCAGTGAGGACCTCGACTCTCCCGTGTTCCTTGATGACTTCCCCCAGGAAGGCAACACCAACATCAACAATGCCAATAGCAGCTGCTGGCTGGAGGGGTAAGGGTGAACCTCGGTGTGCAGACAAGGAGGGCACTGCTGGCCATGTCTCTGTGTGCCCTGGGGCTGTCCTGGCACTGCTGGCCATGTCTCTGTGTGCCCTGGGGCTGTCCTGGCACTGCTGACCATGCCTTTGCTCTGCTCTGGGGCTGTCCTGGCACTGCTGGCCATGTCTCTGCCCTGGGGCTGTCCTGGCAGCTGGCTGCACCCTGGCCTACCAGGGCTCCCATCCCATGACTCCTTCATCTCAGTGCCACGAGGATGGAGGTGGACAGCAGGGCTCCAGGTGTTGCAGGAATCTTCCCTCCCCCTCATCTGCCAGTCTCTGAGGGCCAAGGCCCAGGCTGGGGCCACCAGCACGTGCCTGGGCATGGGTAGAAGGGACAAAAATTACCAGTGTAGGAGGATGTACTTCTCCTTGGGGCCTCCACCCTGTTCATCCATTCCAGTTGTCCCCACAGGTCTGTCCCCCCAGGCTGGGGAAGGTGGGGAGGGCTGCAGCCCCAGGTGGAGCTGGGCTCGGTGTGTGCCCAGCCAGGCTGACCCACCTGCCTGCCCTTGCCAGGGTGCAGTATGAGGATGAGGTGCTCAGGAAGACGGTACCAGCAGCACGCAGGCGCCCAGCACGGGGTGAGTCTGGGATTTGTCGTTCTTCTGGGGGACTGGGACCAGCCCAGGGGCCAGGGCAGGGGGAAGGGTCTGATGTTGGTGGGTGGAAGGAGGAGATGCCCCAATAAGTTGGAGGTTTGCTGAGAGCACTGAGCACAGCAGGATCTCTCTGGAGAGCTCCAGGAGACTGTTCTCCCTCCTTTGAGGTGATGAAACATGGAGATAGTGCCTCATTTTGGGGGAGCACTCCCATCTTGGGGCAGCAGGGCCACAAGACCACCTTCATTTCCTTAAACAGGGGCTTTGGGTGCTGCTGAATCTTAAATCCTTCGTTTTCCCCAGTCTAGCTAGCCTGTTCCCATCTCTGCTTGGCAGAGGTGTCCTTGTTCTTGTGCCCATCTGATGTCCCTACCTTTCCCTCCCACAGAGCACAACCGCCCCATACCCATGGAGAGGCTGAGCAGGAGGCGAGGGGCCACTTCTGGAGGTCCCTCAGCACCAGGGCCACTCCTCCCCCAGCAGGTAAAAGGGACAATGCATGTCCAGAGGGGACATGTCATGTGGGGGACACAGGTGAACCTCCCTCCCATCCTGGGAAAGGCTGGCACAGCTGTGCTGGGAAGGAGCCACTCTCTGGGGCTCATTGTGTCAATCCAGCCTCGCTGGAGCTTTTCTCTTGGATCAGCCTGGAGATGGAGCTGGGCTCCCACCCTGCTGCTGTAGCAGTCATGGGGAGCTCCTCAAAGCTGGAACAGCTGGAAGCACATTCCTCTGGCTCCCCACCTGCCTCCAGAGCCAGGGCAGGAAGAAGGGGTGCATCAGATTCACCCCCATGCTCCCTTTGCTGCCTCATGCCCGGGGCCAGGGTGGTTCCCAGCTCTCTGTTCACAGGGCCCTGCTGGTCCCATTTTGGGGGTGCCCTGAACCCAGGAGCTCCAGCAGGATGGCATTGCCTGTCCAGGCACTGGACAGGGACAGGGGACACAACCTGCAGCCCCCAATTAATATGGGAGGGGTCTTCCCTGGGCAGTGTCCCAGCACATTGCAGCTCTGTGCCACTCTCACCCAGCTGCCCACAGAGGATGGCACTGTGACAGCAACAGCATCCAGCTCAGGGTTCCAGCTGAGAGAAACTGGTGAGCCAGGAACATCCTCCACACCAGCCATCACCTTCCTCATTCAGGAGGTAAGGCAAGGGCACAGCCTGGCAGAGGGAACAGCAGGGACGGCAGGAAATTCCGGGCAGGAAATTCCATGTTGGAATTGGATGGGGGATTTGGGGGCAAAGCTTAGCTACAAGGGCGAGCAGCTGTGCCAGCACAGGGGGCAGAAGGGAGGAGAAGAGGGTGGGTGGGTGCCTCAGCCAGGGCAGCTCCCCAGGCTGAGCACCCAGGCTGTGCCCTCATCTTCTGCACAGGCTCTGATCTCCGGAGGCCTCAGGGCTCTGGCCCATGACTCGTCATTTGTAGCAGTGACCAGGGACGAGATGGCAGCCAGCAGCCAGCTGGAGATGGATGAAGTGGAGAAAGCAGCCGTGGAGCTGTTAAAAGGAAGAGAAACACTGCAGGGCACAAGAACCAGCTCTGCCCCATTGGACACCTCAGCTATGCCACCAGGCAGATCCCCAGGGCTCGGTGCAGCTCCCTCCCAAAAGACCATCACTGCCACTCGCCTGTGAGCTGCCCACTGCAGCAGCTCAGGGTCCTGGCACAGGGGGTGCTGGAGCAGAGCCACACTGCTCCTGCCTGTGGTCCTGAGGTACTCTGGCCAGCTGTGGTACTGCTTTTGGGTCTCTGGGATGCTGGTGCAGAACAGGACAATGCTGTTCCAGCAGGGTGTTGCAGGAATTGGACAGGTGATTAAAGTGTTCCTGCTGTGTGACTCTGGATGCCCTCCCCTCCTTCCTCTGCTGCCCTGCCTGTACAGCCAGTGGAGGGGGTTTTGAGGTTGCCAAGCTCTGGGATCTCCTGATATCCCAGTAGCTGGACCCTGTGTCCTCATGTCTCTGCTGCCTCTGCAGCCTCCTGCCTGCAGCCAAGTCTGGCCTGTGAGGAGGAGATGTGCCAGGGGCTGGGCAGCAAAATGGGGCGTGGGGCTTTCGTGGCTCCCTGTCCCAGCTGTGTGTGAAACAGGATGGGGCAGAGGTGTGAAAGCATGTTCAGGCCGGGGCAGCGGCCCTGGGGCTGGCCAAGAGGAGAATTGGACACTGTGATGCCCTTTCTGCCCCTCCCACTATGTCCACACTGCACTCTTGGGGTCAGGCATCCATCCCAGTCTCTGGGAAGGTCTCGTTCAGCCCATGACATCCATCCCACAGCTCAGTGGGGCACGGGCCAGGGGAGTGTGGAGCTGTTCCTGCAGCACTCTCAGCACTGCCTGCACTGGTGCTGAGCAGTCTCCTCAGACTGAGGTCTCTCCTCCCTGGGCTGCCCAGGGGGTCCACAGAGCCCCCCATGGAATCTGGGTGCTGAGCACTGGGGCAGCCCCATCTCCCAGCCAGCTCTTCAGAGGGATCTGGCTCCCGAGGGCTCCAGCCCAGCCTAACTGGGAACTGGGGGGCTCTTGATCACCTAATAGATATTAAAATGCAGAGAGTGGATGGGTCCCAGGGGAGGAGCAGATCAATGAGCCAGCCTGCTCCCCAGCACGGCTTTTATTAACTCAGTCAGGGGAACAGGCTGAGTTCCAGCTGCAGCCTGAGCACCAGAGCCAGTCTGGTGTCTGCCCATGGCAGAGCAGCTTCCCCCACAGCTCGCAGCCAGCAGAGATGGGTGGTGTGGGGGGAACTGCTGCATCCCTTCCTCTTGCTTCTTTGCCCTGGGGCAGGACTTGCACCCCTTCCCACTCACCCCCTCACACGTGGATGGAGGTGCACAGGGGGTGGCAGTTCAGCTCTGCCAGGGGATGGCAAGGACATGTTATGGGGTGAGTGCTCGTGGTCTCCTGGTGCGTTTAGGGAGACACAGGACCGCATGTATCACCTGCCAAGACACGTGGGTGGTCACTGGAGACTCTAAACATAAAGGGTGACACTGTGGTGGGGACAATCCCACTGTGGTGGGGCCTCTGCACCCTCTCCTGCAGGCTGGGGCTGCTCAGGGGATGGTTTGCTCCATCCCAGGTGTGTGTGCAGTGTCTTTCTTAAGCTGATTCTAGCTGAACTGGGGCACAGATGTGATTTGTGGGTGGCAGTAGGAAGAGAGCAACATCGTGGCATGGTCACTGCCCCTCTCTGCCTGGAGCTTCAGTGGGGAAAAGTCCAGCCTCAGGAAAACTGGCAGCTCAGGGTGGGAACTGCACTGTGCACCAGGTGTCCTTGCAAACACAGGACAAAGAAAGAGTAATACCAGCTCCTCACATCTTTGCAGGCCATGTCCTGCTCCGCTCCATGATTTTGTACCATACAGTGTCCTGGGACTTACCCATCCCAGTAGAACTGAGGAGCTCCCGTGGGATGCAGAGTCCTGTGCACACATGGCCCGTGCTCGTGGCACCTTGGGAGGAGCAGACACGAGCAGAGGGGGTGAAGGGACCCAGAGTGCAGAGCAGAGGGCAGGGGCTGGACTGTGTGCTGGGCTCAGCAGCCGCACTAGCTATTGGCCACCAGTGCTGGTGTGTCCTGGCTATTCCCTCTCCCAGGATACATGATCCTGGACTGCTCAAGAGAAACCTCTGAGTGCCTCGGTTTGCCCTCGTGCTCCATTGCCATTTGCCCTGACATTGACACCAAACTGCAGAGCTGGGAGTCTCCTGTAGGTCCCACAGCTGCTGGAAGATGCTTTCTTCTGCAGAGCCAGGGTCTGTCTGTGTCCAGCTGCCATCAGCCCCAGCAACGTGAATACAACTCAGGAAAGCCATAGCAGGGATTCCTTCAGCTCCCCAGTGCTTCTCTGTCTCCAGTCCTTCTCTGGATGTGTCTCCCTCACCAGCCTCCCAAGACCAGCTCCTAGGATGGAGCCACTGGCCCCGTGGGCCCGGGCTGGGTGGGCACTGCCCTGTGCTGCGTGGGTGCCCAGCTGGCTGTACCAACCCCAGCCCTGCAGTACGGAGTGTGCACGCTGGGCAGCTCTGCTGGCACCCGGACACCATCCTGTCACACCATGTCCTCTTAGGACAGGCTCTCACCACGGCCCTGGGCAGCCCAAAGGGTGGCCAGACCCCAGTCCCTGGCTCTGGCAGGAGCACCGAGCTCCCCCTGCCCTGCTGTGTATCCTGCTGCTCCGTGGTGTCACCCCCCAGCAGCACAGAGGGCACGGGATGCAGCGGGGCCAACGAGGAGTCGGAGTGATGCCAGCCCCGTGGGAGCTCGCCCGGTACAGCCCGGAGCAGAGCCCGGTACAGCCCGGGGGAGTGCCCGGTACAGCCCGGAGCAGAGCCCGGTACAGCCCGGAGCAGAGCCCGGTACAGCCCGGAGCAGGGCCCGGTACAGCCCGGAGCAGAGCCCGGTACAGCCCGGAGCAGAGCCCGGTACAGCCCGGGGGAGTGCCCGGTACAGCCCGGAGCAGGGCCCGGTACAGCCCGGAGCAGAGCCCGGTACAGCCCGGGGGAGCCCCGGAGCAGCGGGGCCGCTGACCCGGCAGGGGGAGCACGGGCTGAGTGTGAACGGG